CCAAATACGGTAGGCCAGTTTTAAAGGCGTTCTAGATTGCTTCAAATTTGCTTCAATGTGTACTGCAAATTTCTTTCTAATTCAGACTTTAGATTCTCAATCCTTAAAATAGGGCAAACACATTTTGAAAGGAAGGGCAACAATTGGATCTGAAGGATCCTTGGTTCATCAAATCTGAAAGTTTCAAAGACTTATGCATTTAACGAATAATCTAACAAGAAAGCTTTATTCCAGAATTTCAGATTCTTTCAGCTTTATCACAGTGTATAATCGATTACATGCTATCTAATCTGTCTTTTCTGATTTTTCTGTTCTTCTTCCATCTCAACGGTGCACTCGATCTCCGGAGGGACGTCTTTGCATAATGACTCTCGTCGAGTTGTAGTGGTTTCACGATAAAGTGGCGCTTGAGTGTAGTCACAAACCTTCAAAGTATTATCGTAAAACCTTTAATAGAAGAGCCTCCCTAACTATCAATTTTGACTTTCACTGGCGGCGAGGTAATCTGGCTCAAATGTTAGGGAGACCTCTTATTACAGGTTTTAAGCAGAGATGTCCGAAATCAATTTTTTGAAAAACGGAATCCGGAATGCGGAATAAAATAATTTTCTCGGAATCCGGAATCCGGAATCCGGACAACTGAAAATTTTCCGGAATCCGGAATACGGAATCCGGACAAAAATATTTTTCACGGAATTCGGAATCCGGAATCCGGAATGAAAAAAATCACGGAATCCGGAATCCGGAATCCGGAGATCTCTGGTTTTAAGGTATTTCAAATATATTCAAGCTTACATCTCCGGCACCGACGGTGACAGTAATAAATGCCAGAAGAAAGAGAATCAGTTTGAAGTGGAGCATCTTCGAGTAAGAAGGATGAATGAATGAAATAAAAAAAGGGCTCTGATGTTGGGATCTTATACTACGTTTCATTCGGAAATAATGATGTATTCGATTTTCGGGAAAAAAAGAATCGCGACTTCTTGAGCATTTGAACAGAAAGGGGACACACAACATGAAGCTACAAACGATTGAATACGAAAATGATCACTAAAACATTTGCCACCCTGGTGGAGAACCAAAAATTTGAGAAACCGCTATTGATTGTGTTATCCGTGCAGGAAACAAGGTGTCCAGAGGTGGCCTAACTTTCTGCAAACTATTTTTCTAGGCCACAGTAGTTGATGGTCCAGAAGTAGTCTAATATACACTTGGTGCGTTTCCTAGGCAATTTAACATGCGGGCATAACTTTTGCAAGTCAAGTTTTCTAGGCCACCATGTTGAATGACCTAGATATGAACCCATATTCACCCTTGTGTGTTTTCTAGGCAATTTCAACATGGCCTAACAACGCTGGCCTAACTTCTGCAAGTTGAGTTTTTTAGGAGACCAACTTTTTGGTTCAAACGAATTTTCGCTTTTTTTTTAATTTCTAACAAGTTGCTTTTCTGGGCTTGATGCCCTTAAGTTTGGTCGGCGGAACCACTCATTTTGTTGTTCAGATACTTCCGGAACACAGTTTTAACAAAACATTTTATTGATTTCTTTTTTTTAATATTCAATCACAGAATATCACATTTAAAAGTGAATTATTCCTCCTTATTCGAGATCACATCGCCTCGGTGTA